AAAATGTGATTTATAAATAAAAATATGTAAATAGATGTATTTATTGATGAATTATTTGTCTGATTATTTAACGACGGAATTGGTGACTATGTTTTCTTTAATAGATAGATACAACTATAGTTACAGTGACTTTATGAAAGTTACGGTTTTGGATGTCGATATTTTTATGACTTCATTACATAGATGAAAGTCTTGTATTTTATGTTTAAAGAGCAGAGATAATTATAAATAGAGAAGAAACATTTATGAAATACCAAATCAGAAAATACATCCTAAAATGTTATTAACTCGTTGGTTTAGCCACCAGTGGCACAGCGGTAATCTGCGGACTTAGAACACTAGAAACCTGGTTTCGATGCCAGTGGTGGGCAGAGCACAGATAGCCCATTGTGTAGCTTTGTGCTTAATTTCAAACAAACAAACAAATCGTTGGTTTAAATTGTCCCAGAACAGCTTCCAAACAAATAATGAGCGAATATTTTTTAACTCATTCAGTCTGTAGTCCACAAAAATAGAAACTACAAATGTTTCTCTTTAAAAAAAAAATAGTTTTTCACAACCTTTTTCGCCGCAGCGCCCCCTTCAGCAAACAATAATCACTCATGCCTCTTTCTACCTCTTCTTCTTCATCGGGATTCGGTCCATGTTTTGGACCAGGGAGGTCAGGCTCAACGTAGACTTTTCACAAAGACCTAAATTCCTGTCAGGAGAGAAGAGAGTTGTATAAGCAATGCAAAACACTGAATGTGACTGTGATACATACATAGACATTGCCCTGAAAGGAGTCGGAGCAAGTGCGGTTTACTCCGACCCTCTTGTAGTATCAACACTCTACATTCACGGACGACATACCACGGTCCGGAAGGGAGGAAGAGGTCTCAGCGTACCTGACCCTCCTAGGATATAAACCCGACACTAGTTAGAGCCTAAAAATAATTCATTTAAAAGGGTATTATATGTAAAATATGTTCAGTTAGTCTCTAACTAGTGAAATGTGTAACTTGCATTATGGACGTCTAACGTTAGGTGACCTGATCACATCCTTCTTTCTAAAATAAATGTTAACCGGCGAGAGGTATTTAGGTCTACTTCCATCATGTATGTAATAACGTTTATACGGCACAATGGTTTGTTTTAAATTTCGCGTGGAGTTACACAAGGGCTATCTGCGCAAGCCGTCCTTAATTTAGCAGTGAAAGACTAGGGGGAAGGCAGGTAGTCAACACCATCCACCGCCAACTCTTAGTGGGATTGAACGTTACATTCTAACGCCCCCACGGCTAAAAGAGGGGAGCATGTTCGATGTGATGGGAATTATGTGCCGCAACCCACAGATTGCCAGTTGACCGCCCTAACCATATCATAACGTATGATAACCTGCTGTAGGTAGGTCACTGCTAACATCTTTTGCTTAACTTATGCTTCGGAAAAATTTGGCATTTTTCTGAAGTTAGGGTTAAGGATTATAACATTTTTCTATATTTATGGCCAATATGTCATTCAAGGTGTTTCACCCGATGCGGGTGATCCTCAGTAATCCTTATTGTGTTCGGTTTCGTTCACAAGCCGTGGCAACCATGCGCCATTTTGTCGGAGGTATAAGTTCTGGAAGAATGCCACATAATTGTTGTGTGTTCGCATTGACGGATTAACGGCTAGGCCTACTTGTCCAGAGCGTCACAAAGTTAACTAACTGTAATTATGGAGGCGAAACGAAATGTACGTTTGATAAATTATATAATAAAATAAAAAAACACAATCAGCCATTCAATATTTTTGAATTCTTAGATATTATTCTTGATATTTTCTATATTTATCTGTTGTTGTTTTTTCTTATTAGATCCGTGCGTAAGATATTTCTGATAATTAAACTTGAAACAGTTCGAATTATATTATTCTCGGAGTTTTCGTTGTATGATTAAAAATGATTTGTCAACACCAGACTTTCAAAGTCAAAACGTTTATTTCTATCATCGTAGCTTATACAAAACACTGTGTTCGTAGGCCTTAATCGGGGCTCTTAACTGACTGAACGTCCTAATCATAGAAAAAAATGGGTGACATTAGAAGCGTCAGAAAATTCTGGAACTATGGGCGATTTGCAGCTTTTCTTAATTTTAAGGATTGGTTGAATGACATTATCAGCCATGTCTTTAGGATCTTTGTACTTAGGGAGGAAAGATGTTAACCTCCTACCAGTTTGGTCACAATCTAAGGATTCTGTGACCTTGGTGGACTTCCATGATGACTTGGAATGACCTTCCACACACCATCAATAATGTATTACTATATTATAAAAAAATTAACTATTAGGGATAGCACAAAGGATCACATATAAAGTGGAATAGACTTAAAATAAGACCCAAAACTCGAGCACTTTCGAATAGTTAACTATTCTTCTTCCCTGAAGAGGTTTGAGGTTCCTCGAGCTTTGGGTCTTATTTTTATGTCTATTAACTCTAAAGGAAATACTTAAATGTTGTAAAGTCATGTGAGTACTGAAAAAAGACTTGAATCAAATTTTATGTTTAATGACCAAACATCAAGGATTATCACAAATGTATTAATGCATCTGTACCTAAAATGTTTTTGTACAGTATTATTTTGATATCACAAAATTCACACTTTAAGAATAAATAAATTCAATTACAGCTATTTGGAAAACATTTGAAACAGTGGACTTGCAGTTGTTCTGACACAAACGTCAAATTAATGATATATTTTTAGCCTAACATTGTAAAAAATGCAGTATTTCATAAAATGGCAGTAGCTACTAGAAGCAGACTCGAACATAAGGTATACGCTTGTTACATAATTTAACTTTATTTGAGCCCGTTAGCCAAAAGTTTTATGAGAAAAAGTTAATTATAGACACTAGTGTATCCTAGGAGACAAAAAAATCACATGAACATAAGTACCGGTACAAAAAGTACCAACAGATTATCACTTGTTAGTACCCTAAACATTTTCGGTCACTCACAATAATTACCACAAAAAGAAATTAGTTTGTGTTGAAATGTATTGAAAGTTTTTAATCACTGGTATTCCACGGCACTGAAAGAGAACAGGTTATCACTGAAACTATCGAATAACCATTACTACTTCACAAAATGAAAAACTTTGGATTGTTTTGACACTCAAGTCAATTCAAGATATCTGTGTTGAGCTTCTGACTTTAAAATCTTTTTGTTCAAAATTTGTTTTGATATACAAATTTTCTCAGGATCATTCAGAAGTTTTCTTTTCCTGCACCTGAGACGGATTGGATAACAACTACTGCCTGCGGTTTACTTATTCTACAACCATTTGTATAACTTTCCAGGATGCATCATTCCTTTGGAAAACAAACTTAAGACTTCTGTAGTTTATGTGCATATTGAAGAAAACATGAAGTAACTTTTAGCTTCTCTGGATTATTCATCACAGTTTCAATCAGCTCATTTTGAGCAATTATTGTAATGTTTCTAGTTTACGAAGTACGATCGTGCGTATAGTTATCTTACTTTACAGCCGAGAGTCATGTTTCTCACTAGATCTAAGCAGGAAAAACTGATTGTGCCCTCTATTGGAGTTGTTACTGTCAAAGAGAAGGCTTTCATAGTTTACGAAGTACGATCGTGCTTATATTTATCTTACTTTATAGCCGAGAGTCATGTTTCTCACTAGATCTAAGCAAGAAGAACTGATTGTGCCCTCTATTGGAGTTGTTACTATCAAAGAGAAGGCACAAGATATAACAATACTGTGTACTATCACTAACAAGCCACAAGATTTAACGATACTGTGTACTGTCAAAGAGAAGGCTTTCATAGTTTACGAAGTACGATCGTGCGTATAGTTATCTTACTTTTCAGCTGAGAATCATGTTTCTCACTAGATCTAAGCAAGAAGAACTGATTGTGCCCTCTATTGGAGTTGTTACT